AAGGTGATACTTGATATGAGAAGACCCCAAATAGTTAAAGAAGTGCAATAGCTAATTGGACGGATCGCAGCTTTGACCTGTTTCCTAGCGAACTCAGCCCATAAATCCCCACCCCTTTTGGCTTACTCAAAAAAGGGACCAGTTTCCAGTGGAATGATGAGTTTGAGAAAGCATTCCAAGAATTCAAAATAGTGTTATCCTCCCCCCTGTCGTGACCAAACACCTGACAATCAGAATAGAGGATAAGTGCTACTTTGATCAGAGAATCCAAAGCCGACTGGACAAAGACCAGTCTACTTCATCAGCAGATTCCTGCTGAGTATTGAGCTGCACTACCAACAATTGGAAAAGGTCATACTCGCCCTAGTTTTTTCCGCTCGAAGATTAAGGCCATATTTTCAATGCCACTCAATCATTATCAGGACCAATCAACCGATCAGGAAGATTCTTCACAAACCAGATATTATCGGGCGTATGATGTGTTGGGCGATTGAATTCTCAGAATATCAGATCAATTATAAACCTAGAACGGCCATCAAAAGTCCAGGCTCTAACCGATTTTATTGCAGAAATGACCCACTTGACAGAGCCCGTTGAAGCTAAGACCTCAAGGACGCAGATCTTCTGGAAACTTTTCGTCGACGGATCCTCAAAGTCCAAAGGATCCGGTGCCGGAATCATCATTGAAAATCCAGATGGAGTAGCAGTAGAGCATTTTCTAACCTTCGACTTTACTGCCACCAACAATCAAGAAGAGTACGAAGCCATCATCGCTTGGCTCATTTAAGCTAGAAAGTTAGGGTTAGAACATCTTAAAGTGTTCAGCGACTCTCAGTTGGTGACATTCCAAATCTCAGGGGAGTACCAAACAAAAGTCCCTATGATGGCCAAATACTTAGGAAAGGTCAAAGAATTGTTGAAAAGTTTCAAAGTCGTTGGAGTAGAACACATCAGGCGATCAAAAAACACTAGAGCATACATACTGGCTAAGCTGGCGAGCACCAAAAGCCCGGTAAACAACCGATCGGTGGTGCAACATAGTCTCCCCTCCCCATGCGTCATTATGACCATCTCTGACACTCTTGTCCAAGTTGAAGAAGAAACATGGATTGCCCCAATTGTTAACTACCTCTTCAAAGGAATACTACCCCTTGATCATAAGGAAGCTAGAAAAATACTCAGAAGAAGTGAAAACTTCTCCTTAATAGAAGGTCGACTATACAAAAGAGGATTCTTCCAACCACTCCTGAAATGTCTAAATCCAAGAAATGTTGAGTATGTGCTTGAAGAGATCCATGAAGGTCTGAACGACCACCACATGGGCGGGCGGTCCCTCGCTAGGAAGGAACTCAGGGCAAGCTTTTATTGGCCGACCATAGAGAATGATGCACATTATCACGTCAAGAAATGTGACAAGTGCCAAAGACACACAGACATACACCGAGCGCCCCCCGAAGAAATGACAACCATCACTTCCCCGTGGCCGTTCTACAAATGGGGCATAGATTTGCTCAGACCATTCCCAAAAGCAGCCAGGCAGGTTCTACAAATGTTCTCCTTTGAGATGGTTGTCTTCTTTGATTTTTTTTTCTTTGACCAATTTTGTCATCTTGCTCTTGGTCAACCTTATTTTTAATTTATATGGAGTGCAAGTCAAAGTTTATCGTCCCCACAGACGGCGTCAATGATCAGTCTAACAACTAATGGCAGGACTTGACCACACATAGTTGAAGGTAAATGATGCTGATGATTGGGCTTGTCGAGATGATAAGCTTCTGGCGAGATGGTTGATCTTGGTCGCCTGATGTATAAGCAGTTTAAGGAGACTAGGGGGGTACCTGCAAGCCACTCTGACGTTCAATTAAGTTCAATATTCAATATAGTTCAAGGATAGATGATCTTTACCTAGGTCCAATGCTTCTGTATTTACAGTGGAGGGATGCCTCGCTTTATACTGCCTTTCTGTGGCGATATTCACTCGTATTGGTGGAGCATGATGGCTTTTTATAGGCTATTTCTTGGGCGAGATGCCTATAGTCAGGCTAGCCGTAGTAGATGTTGCGTTAAGCTAGTGTTGTCGTCAGTTATTGGGTTCATGTGAAGGTCAAGTTGTTCTGAGCTATTGATCTCGTCGATCTTGCTTTCTTGCAAGCTAAGTCTTTTCATTGTCAACCAAGTTGGCGAGATGCCCACGGTTCATACGCGGGATGAACTCATTTCCTTCAAGGTTAAGTTATGATCCTTGGGCCTTCTGGGTCTCTATTGGATTGGGCTTCCATCGAATATATTTTAGGTTCGGATCAATTATTAATTTTCAATAAATTATAACCGTTATATGTACAAAAATCGACGATTAAAATTTATTATTCTTATACCGATATAAGTTGATATGCTCCTATTTAGCTAGCTACTACATTACCATCTACATTTATGTAACCAAAAAAATTTAAAAATACAAAACCTCCCACATTGACTAATGCTAACATAGAATGATACACAACCTAATTTCACATCAAAATAATAGAAATCACACACTACAAATTGCATATTGAAGAGGAATGACTTACCAATGGAAAATGCTGAATATTATCGCTACAGTGATTGTCTAAATGTTGCTCAGAGTGCCAAAATGAACATTTTGGGGGAGGGGGGGAATATCAATACAACATGGACATGGACTACTATGCGGTGAGGGAAGAATATATATATATATATATATATATATATATATATATATATATATATATATAGGTAGGATCCTTTGACACCAGTGTCAAATTCGAAGTTTGACACCTCACCTAAGAGTAGTTAGATAAAAAAAGATCAATGGTGTCACATGCTTACAAATCAGAGTCGTTGATCTTTTTTGATCTAACGGCTCTCAGGTGAGGTGTCAAACTTCAAATTTGATATTGGTGTCAAAGGATTCTACCTCATATATATATATATATATATATATATATATATATATATATATATATATAGATAGATAGATAGATAGATAGATAGATAGATAGATAGATAGATAGATAGATATATAGATATAGATGTAGATATAGATATAGATAGAGAGAGAAACACTTATCATATTACATGAAAAGATATTTATTATGTTGTGACTCTTCGATTTGCGTATAATTTTTTTTTTTCTTTTTTAATAAGTGTGGAGTCCACCAGTAATTAAGTCACAACATGAGAAATGTCTTCTCATGCAACATGAGAAAATCATATATATATATATACACACACACAACAATACTTTTCTCCTTTTAAGGAAGAAAATAATTGTTTCCTACACATACATCAAAATTCATGTCAACTTTTAAAAAAATAAAATTGGTGGTCCCATTTTTTTTCTCGGCAGGAGACAATTTTTCTCTCTTGTAAAAGGAGAAATACATTGTCCATATATATATATTTATATATATATGAGATTAATGTTTCTCGTGTTATAGGAGATAATTTTATTTCTGACACACTCATAAAAGTATGTGAGACCCATATTTTCTCATTCTCTCCCTTCTCTTCACATGAGCCTCATGCACTTTTATTTGTGTGTATGAGATAATTTTATTTCTTACAACATGAGAAACATCAAATCCCTATATATATATATATATATAATGAGTTCATTTTTTCTGCGGTGAATGCAGATAATTTATCTCTATTGAACTTAAAACAATGTCATTTTGGGGCAGAAATTAAGGTGTTCTGGTAATTTTAATTTATTTCAAGGTTATATTAGTCTTTATCATTATAATTTTTTAATTTTTTATCTCAAATAATATTATTTTAGGAGTAAATAGAGATAACTTATCTGTATTTACGATAAAACCATCAAACCCATATATAATTGAAATTCTTTGTTATCATGACATGGCAACCTAACAAGTCAGCTTCAATTTGGGGGAGTGATGTGACAAAGAATGACAGGAAAAGTGTGATCTCTGAGTATTATCTGGGTTAGGGAGAAAGAATTCTATGGTCCACGCCGATAGAATTCTTATGTACTCTCAGTCACATATAAAGGAGTAATAAAGGAAAATGAAAATCAAAGCAAGGATAAAATGGAAAAACAAAAAATTTGATTGTGAGATGAACCACAAGAAACAAGGATGGGACAGGAGCTTAAAAATATTTTCCTGGGATAGGAATGGAGAAGATACTATGTAAAAAAAGATTGAAAAATAATCCATTTACAAATTTTATTTTTACGAACTTATAAATTACACTATGTCTGATCGGTAATACTCTACTCAAAAGTATATTACCAGTCAAACATAATGTAATTTGTAAACAAAAATTTATAAATATAGCCTTCTAAAAAAAAAGATTTGTAAACTTGAAACTATATAAATTTGGATTAGGATCAAGTGTCCAACTTACTCATGGCAAATTACCATAACTGAGAAAGTGTTATACCTGTTATACTAAGTAAACAACCAATTAAACTCAAAATATAAATTGATAAGCGAATATTAAATTAATAATTTTATATTATATCTATTTAGCAGATTCTCTTCTCACCTTCCATTTTCAATAAGTGCATCATTATTTTGATATTTTTAATGGTTTCAAAATCAAAAGTGCCGTTAACTTCTGAATTAGAAGCAAACATACCGAGCTTGGTTTCTATCACTACGCTACCTGCTGATCATACATAAGATATTTCAATCCACTTTCAAGATAAGAAAAGTACTCTGTGTGCTCTTTTTATACTCTAAAAATGATCATAACAAGAACAATCTTTTTCTCATAATGATTATGGCCTAGAGAGAAACTTTGCTAGATATCATCAAGTACACTTTCAAGATAATTAACACCACTTGGGAGTTCTCTATCTAAAAGATGGCTGTCTCAATAAGATTTGGATCAAATGCATCCTTCAATTCTAATAAAATAGATTGGCTTCAAAAACCTGAACCTACGAGTCAAAGTAGAACGGATACTCCCTGTGGTGTCGGTCTCAACATTAAATCAAACATGGTTCTGATTCCCTACATCAAAAACCTCAAAATAGATAAAGCTACCTTTTACAAAATATTAAACATTTGTTTGTTCTGGATTCACTAATACTAGGATTTTCAGTGAGTTGTTTGTTCGTTTGTCCTGTGATCGAGAGTTTCTCCATGGCATTTAGGAACTTGCGTAAGTGCTTGATGTATTCAGGGAAAGTTTCAAGGTTGCAATGGCCCCCACCCTTAACCCACAAAGGGTCATATTTTTCCTTGGAAAGTTCCCACAATCGCTTTCCATGGGACCAATCAACAATATCATCATTTGTTCCCTGCCCATAATACACAAGCAGACAAACAAAACTACTATTAGCATCTGGAAGTGTATTATTTCATCTAAGATTGCATACGACACTGAGACAAAGATCCATGTCAGAGAACGTGTTTGTATGATGAGTACCAAATTCATGAACAGTGACACAAAACTGAGACCCCAACAACACCTAATTTTCCTACTAAAATTTTGTTTCATTTACGATGATGGCTATCATGCTATATGCTGGTTGGACTTATCAAATAATAGATTGTTTCTGTTCAACGGGCTCTCATATATGTCTGGCAACATCTTCCAACGACTGGAGAAATGCAAAGATGAATTGATATTCTAAAATCTACGCATTGATTATGTTGTTGGCTTCAAGGTATAGACATAAAAGCAAGAACAACCATTTAAAAAAAAAAAACAGCTTTATTTTTGCAGAAACAGATAAATGCCAAATATTTGTTAAACATATTCTACCTCATTTTCATCTTTAACTACATTAGGAATTAGGACAAAAGGTGCAGGCTCTACCAAGTTTCAATCTCAGTAGAACACAACCAACACAGAAAAGCATAATTGGAGAAGCGTTGGAAAAATGCATATTTATTATGCTTATGCATACAAGAATAAAAGTTATAGACTAACAGCAGGTATAAATCTATATATTGAATCATTGACAATGAATAGGTGTCTGCATTGACATTAGCATCCAATTGTAGCATCAATCTTCCTATGAACATAGCCATCCCATTGAACATTCTGCACATGTTTAACATTTTTATTTGAATCACATATTGCTTTACAACTCCAGGTCAGCCAGAAAAATTTGAGTAATACTCTGAAAACAGGACTTAATTTAAATGATCTCAGCTGCTGTCTCCTGTGTTTGTCATTTCAGTTTTTTCACCAGAAAGTAAAATCTGTTTGCGCTTTGTAGAGGTATTTAAGCTAGTCTATTCTTTTCAAAGAGGAAATAATAGACTAAAAAGTTTTACATCCTTGTAACAATACCGAAGACTTTCTGTAAACTGGTTATAAGTTATACTGGGTACATAATACTTTCTTCTAATTTGCTGATTGAATGAAAAAGAATAGTACTTCTTAAACACTGAGTTCTTCATTCAGATGACATCAATCTAGTAAGTAAAAGTAAATTAACATGCATTATGTGACATGTGTGATTTCTTTTGATGATGAGTGTGATTACAAATTAATCTAAATAACCCACACAATCCTGATTGTTTTATTCTTTTCTACTCTTCCAGGGGATCAACCAACTCTCCATATGAATAGCTCACTGACAGAGATAGAAAAATAAAGAATTATAAAACAATCTCTTCGTGTAACCAAAAAGAAAAAAAATAACAATCTCTTAAGGATAGAAGCCTCAAGAAAGAAACTATTAAGCAAGTTTGAAAACTGAAAGAGGTATAAATGCAGAAACTAATAAGAAACATAGATAGAAAGATATACGTACATGTATAACTAAGACTGGGCAGTTAACATGCCTTATTTTGTCTATATTCTGAAATGATAAAAGAGATCTTTGTCAATACAAGACATCAGTGATAAATAATGCAACAAGTTAAGAATTATGAATAACAACACTTAAGGCAAAACTTACTTTGAATATGTCAAACCACAATGTCATCTTGACAGGGTACAAGACCCTTAGCCCTGAAAGGATGCCACTGTGAATAACAACACCTCTCAACTCCCGCAACTTAGAAGCCAAGTGCACCGTGGGTCCGCTACCAACCGATTGACCATACAAAATTAGCTCTTCTTGTTTAATTCCATACTCATTCTTCAAACAATCATACACAGCCTCTATGTCATAATATGTGTTCAACTCGTTTGGCTATCACAGTTTGAGAGGTAATCCACACATAAAACATTCAGTTAGATTTGTGGACAAAAAGATTTGGAGAAAAAACAGAGAATTCAAATGGAACTGATAGTCTTGCTTTCTTATATCATATTTCATGGCAAACACACTCCCAAACCTCATGACAACCTATACTTGTTTGAGTTCAATTGAGTCTCCCCGAAATTTTATTTGAAAAACAACCCTATAAAATCACAGAACAAAAAAAGAAAAAGAAAAAAAAAATTGAAAAAAGAAGGGAGGAAAAGGAATCTGATGTGAGTTACTTACCTTACCTGTAGATGCTCCATATCCTGAATAGTCATAGCTGCAAAGTAACACAAAGTTTCAAAAAAAAATATTCAGAAAGGAATCTTACTCACACTCCAAATTAATAAACAAAATGTACCCAAAAAAATAAAAAAGCAAAATGGAAGTTAAGCAGATACATAATCAACAAAACCTTGATACAAAGCACACCAACAGGTTTAGAAGCATACACAATATCTGACAAAATTAACCTTTTTCAATATAATATATAAAAGTCATATGCCAAAATTGCTCACTTTCCCATTCCCTATATGCAGCGATAATAATAACAATTTAAAATAAAACACGAGCATCAAACTTAAATCTCGAGAAAAGAAAGAAATTTCATAAAAAACAAAAAGGTTTTAAATTAAAGAAGCAAACTTTGCATAGCAGGAACAAGATTATAACTATATATAACCGAAAGAGGAAAAATTTGACAAAACAAAAACAGGTGAATAGAAAAACAAAAGTTGGAATCCAATAACATACCTCATGATATTGACACGAAGGTGAGCCCTGAGCTCAATGAAAAGCTCTTGCATCTGACCCAAGTCAGCGGCATTGCCATGCGAGTAGAGAAAGGTGAACCTTGCAAAAGGGTGTTTCCAGAAGGTGGCAACGATCTTGTTGCCACCTTTTGTATGAAGAAGATGAAGGTCGACGTTTTTGTCGGCGGTGACGCCGGAGAACACGAGCCTCCCATCTTGCCCCCTGAAAACCTCGTACGTTGGTGGGTCTGGCGGGAAAAAAGCGAATTTCGCAGCCACAGTTCCAGTTACATTGCCCATTTAATAACATACCAACCCAACACCTGTTCACGTATTGGGTACGAGAACCAAACACACAGTTTGTTTTGCCTTCATAATGTTATCCTATTCTTGTTCTGTTCTGTTCTATTCTATTTTATTCTATCTGTGTGTACAAATTTTAAAAAAGGAAATAAAATGTTTTTTTTTTTTTTTTAAAGATTTGTTTGGGATTTTTGGGGAAGAGAGAGGATGTTGTTGTTGTTGTTTTGTTGTTAGTTTAGAATGTTGAAATGATAGAAAGGTGTTGTTGGAATTCCAAAGGAGGAAAGATAAGAATGGCAGAAAATAAGATCCGGCCTAAGCGGGTGAGCTGGAGTTGCTGCTGTGCTCGGACCTTTCACCGTTCCTTCTCTGTTATCTCAATTCTCATTTCTCACCTTTGAGAGAGAAAATAATGAAACCAATTATTAGACAAATACCAAAAAAAATTAAAACATGTTTAGATAGAGTAAATTTATGTTAAAGGTGGCAAATCATCTCAATTCGATTAAATAAAAAATTATTTGAAGAAAGAAGAGAGGAAGGAGAATGAAAAAAAATAAAATGAATGATTTTACATAAAAGGATCAAAATAATGATAATAAATAATACTTCTAATACAACAAATGGTATTAGGTCAGTTGATAGCAAAAGCAAAAGAAAATACGCCTCGATTCAATCCTTGTGGGAATATATTTATTCTTGACTCGTCCTGTACTCCGAATTAATTTCATAGTCGGCTCAAAGAGTCGAAGCTTGTAAGAATGCCGGGAGAAGCCAACTCGTCTCAAAGAAGTAATTAGGCTTGAATTAACACAATAAAATAAGTAATACTTCTAATATTACTGATCCATCAAATTACCTTTAACTAAGTAGCCTTAATGCTAGATTTTCAGATATTAATATTTATGCACATTCCCTTTAATTAGATATAGCAAATCGAGTTTCTCAACACATTATTTAATTAAGGCCCATTTGATTTCTATTTCTAAAATTAATTTTTTAACTTAAAAAAATAAAAATAAAAGCTTGTTTGAAAAGTAGTGTTTTAAAATCCTACTCTATCTTGTGGTCGATTCCACCGGGTCACTGACTCCCTCTCTGAGGGTTGGGGTCAGCAGTTAGACCGTGTATGCACGTTGACCCTTCTGACCCTCGAAACCCCCTAGTTGAAACCGTGACTCCCGGATCAGAGGGGTCACTATATATATATATATATATATAAATATATATATATATATATATATATATATTTTAATTTAGACACGAAAAGACGTTGTTTGGTATGTAAAAAAAAAAAAACTTCTTGTTACCTAGATCTAAAACTAGATTTGGAATCTGAATTGTTTTTCTTCTTCTCTTCCAATCTGCTCTCCTAGACCTAGACACAGTCTTCCTGATCCAGTTATCTCCATTGTCGTGGTGGTGGTTCCTCCTATCCTCTTCGGTCTTTTCTCTCCCTCTCTTCTGTCGTGCTAATTATTCCCTCCCCACCGTTGATTTGTCGCATCGCCGCCTCTCCTCCGCCATTCTCTCTTGGGTAAGGGATCTCCTTTCACATGTTGTAAGTGTGTGAGAAGGATAATGAGGCCTGAGTTTTATGATATAACTTTTTATTAACTCCATTGGAATATGTATTTTGTATTTTGATAGTTTGATACTTTGATTAGCTTGTATAATTGGTTGAATTATGTTAAGTATATTTTGAATATTTGATGACTGGTAGTTTGATTTTTTTGAATTTTTCATATAGGATAATATCTATCTATCTATCTATCTATATATATATATATATATATATATATATATATATATATATATATTAATGTATAAAATTGGGTCAGCAAAGTGACCTCATAACCCTCCGGTTGAACCCGTGACCTCGCCTAGTCGATGGCCAAGTCGAGTTTTTAAACACTGTTGAAAATGATTGTTTTGTAAAATGATTCTCAAAATAATAACTATTTTTTATTTTTAAAACTAAAAAAAGAGAACACGTTAGAGATATTCTAAAAAATTATTTTTTATTTTATTACGTGACAATTATGTAATTATAGAATTTATTAATGATACTTTCGTTAATAAATCCAAATTTTTTTATTTTATAAAAATTATTTTAGCAATCTTATAATTATGAAAGTTTATTAATGGAATTTTTGTATATAAATACAACTTCTTTATAAATTTAAATCCAACCATAAAAGTTTTATTGTTTTTCTACTCTCTTCATTTCTTTCTCTTTAAATTCTTCTTCCTTTCTACCTTTTATACTCCTTCATCCTCTTCTCAAAATGCAACACCTTCAGCCTTCTTTTTAAATCCAGATGGACTTCCTCGGTTCCCTTTATCTTGGAACCGAGCTCATTATACTCCTTCTGCCTATGTGTTCTTAACCATTCCGAAGAATTTGTCAGATGAGGAGTTCGAAATTTATGATTGGTTTAAAGACTTAGCTTGTCAATTAATAAAGGAAAATGCTTCTATTGCTCCTCGCCCAATTTTAGAAAATGGACATTCCTCTAAATGGGTTCGAAGAAAATTTAGTAAGTAAATATTAATATTTTTTTCCTAAATTTTATCATGTATGCAATTTCTAAGTCTCTTCTATTTTTCAGATAAAACCATGGATCACGTTTTTTTGCTCGGTTGAAGAAAAGTGCTAACTTGAAAGTAACTTCAACAGAAACTCCTTCTGCTTCTGGTGAAAAGGATTCTCATTCTACCACTCAAACCATTCCGGCTACATCTGCTATGGATTTTGCCTCTATTGATACAATATTAGTTGATATAGATGCCCCAGTTGATTCTGGCGACCTTCGCCAAAGAAATCATGTCCGGGCAGTGTTGCTGCTGCTGACAAATCTCTCACTCCACCAACTTCTCTTGTCGCTTCTCAAACTCAAGGTCCCAATTTCCTTGACAAATTAAAACCCTACTTCACTACAGGTCTTCGAGAGAAATGGAATAAGTTTTTCCTGGACCAACTCATCAACAAGTTTACTGCTCTCCGGGATAACGACATCTGAGAAGCGCATTTCTTTGAAATAGCTCTCTTAGCTCTTGTTGAGCATCATCAACTTCTATCTGACCTTCAAGACCTGTAGAACTTCAAAAGAAAATTCCATACTGAATAAGCTGCTCTCAAAAAATGGCTGAAGTTGTCGAGTTCAATGTTCAAGGATTTCAGGTACAACTAAAGAAAGCTCAAACTTCCAAAGTAACTGCTGAAGAGACAGCCAAATCAGTTGCTGATAAATTATAGTTTGTTGAGCATAACTATTCTGAGTTGATGAAGGAACGTAATCAACTCAACAAAAATTTCAAAGATTCTGATCTCCGGGTAGCCGAGTTAGAAATGGAAGTTGACACCCTAAAATCTAAGGTAGTAGACCTAGAAAAGGCCGCAACTGATATGGACGACAAATTGGAAGCTTATGGTCATCAAATTCGCAGTTGGGTACTAGACCAAGTGGGCTTCTACAACCCGGGAGTTGTTCTTCAAGACTTGAACAAAATCAAAACTTTTAACTTTGTGGAAGATGGTAATTTGTGCACATATGGCAAGGAAGGTCAAAAAATTGTCCTTGCATCCCGCGCTTCTGAAGTTGGCGCTATTAAATTGGACTCCACAAATGTTACTGACTCGGTAGACTCTCCCGGACAAAACCAGGATGTATGAAGGGGTTGTAGGTAGGGGTGGCAATTTGGGTTGACCCGCCTCGCCAAAAACGGGGCGGGGCGGGTTGACCTGCCAAAAAATATGGGTTAGAAAAATGAACCCACCCCGTTTTATGGTGGGTTGGCGGGTCAACCCACCAACCCGCCAATTAAAAAAATAATTAAAATTCAAAAATAAATTATATTTTATAAATTTTTCTAATATTATTTTATTTTATTTTACACTTCTCTATATTTTTTTAGTCTCAATCTTAAATGTATACTAATATTTGTCAAACATTCTTTAGGAATTTATATATAGATAACATTTGTCATAAATAAAATTGTTATTCTTTATTTTTTCTAGGAAGTACTAAGATAAAAAAAATTTGGATATCACAAAACTTTAAGGACTAATGAAATACTACCTAATTGTAAAAAAAAAAGAAAAAAGAAATTATAACCCGGCGGGTTAACCCGCCCCGCAACGGGTTGAACCCGTTTTGACCCACTTATAGGCGGAGCGGGTTGAGGTGGCTTGGTGGGTTAAAAACCTCAACCCAACCCGCCCCGTTTTGACGGGTTGGCAGGTTGACCACATTGCCACTCCTAGTGGTAGGCCACCTTTTATTTGTACTTCTTTTTGGTAAAAAATGCAGGCTTTTATTTGATGTGTTAAACAATGTTTACTTTATTCAATGTTTACTTTTATTTCCCTTTATCTTTAAGCTTTTTTAATCTTTTTTCATAACTTTACTTGCTTCTGACTATTGATTAATTGTTATTTGCCTGCTTTCAAATAGAAACTGAATGGGTACCCAAGAGTCCATCTCTTGCATCAAGGGACTTTACTATTTTCCCGCTTCCGAGTAGGAATTGAACGGGTTCCTAAGAATCCATATTTGGCGTGAAGGGACTTTTTGTTTGCCCGCTTCTGAGTAGGAATTGAATGGGTTCCCAAGAGTCCATCTCTGGCGTCAAGATACTTTACTATTTGCCCGCTTCCGAGTAGGAATTAAACGGGTTCCCAAGAGTCCATCTCTGGCGCCAAGGGACTTGATATTTGCCCGCTTCCGAGTAGCAATTGAACGGGTGCCCAAGAGTCCATCTCTGGCGTCAAAGGACTTTACTATTTGCCCGCTTCCGAGTAGGAATTGAACGGGTTCCCAAGAGTCCATCTTTAGAGTTAAGGGACTTTTCTATTTGCCCGCTTCCGAGTAGGAATTAAATGGGTGCCCAAGAGTCCATCTCTGGCGTCAAGGGACTTTTCTGTTTTATTCCTTTCTTTACTTGAATTGTTTTATCAGAACTCGCTAATTTTATTTGCTCAAAATCCAAAAATA